CTCCTCGCTGACATCCACCGACTGTTGTGCCGAATGAGTCGTATATCGAAGTAGATAATGATAGAGACAAACCGAGGACATTCCTCCGCAGTTCTTCATCACCTCCCTCTGGAATGACATACCAGTTCTATCATCTGCTATGCCCTGAAAAGGCCCTCCTTCAGGTGCCTTCAACAACTTCACGGCTTTAAGCGCGTCAGTCAGCTGGTGATCAGACACTGGACTTGAGCAGGGGATGTGTCCACAGCCCGTACACAATCCCGGTCTTTTCGCTGCCGGAGCATAGGCCAGCCTCCGATGTGGATAATCTGCAGGAGCGTGCTCCATTGTCTCCGCCCGGGGTGTGGCTTCAGGAAGAGAGAACCCACGAGGTGATTTGGAGGGATCGGTGGAAGTTTTGCCGACCTCTTCTTTTTTAGTGGCCTCGCCCGCCTCGACGTTCTCCTTCTCGGGCTGCTTCAGCAATACGTCTCTCAGAAGAGAGGTTGCTTCCTGCTGCTGCTGGATGAGTTGACCGATTGCTTCGGTCAGCTGATTCAGTGTTGGGTTCACCAACTCGGCCAGGGCCTGCACGTTGTCGTGATCGTCGTCACCTTGGTTACTCATCCCGGTAGAAAATTCCTTGTTAGGAGTGTTGGAGTCGATATGCGGGTACTATTCCGCAACACAATACCACAGTCGGGTGGTCGAAGACTAGTACGTACGAACAAAAGGATACGCAGCGCAATAGTGTGACGCCTCTTGACGTCTTACTAATCCTTAACGGCTCTTTCAGTGTGGATCACTGAATTCCAATTGTTATCGATCGCTTTGGCGAGCGCGGTTAGCAACGTACACGAACCTCACTCAAAGAGGGTATATATCGACTCAACGGTGTTTCGTAGAGAGGCCTCAATGGTTTGTAAGCATCAATAAAATCAACGGTCATCGAACCCATGACATGGAATCGCAATATCTCCATATTGGCTCGGGAATTCTGGGCCAATATGGAGATATTGCGAGTCAGAAGAACAGTGTCGAACTTCTATTATAACCCCAGGTTAGAGTCCGCATTGACTATCAAACGATGTCCATTACATCGCGTGCAACAAAACGATCCATCTATGGTTTTTCTCGCGAGATTCATTCCCGAATCGTCTTCAAGGGGAACAGAATGAAGTGGTTCCATTCATTCCCAGCAGCTTCGACTCGCTGCCGTAGAGAGCACACTGGACAGGCCGCGCGAGAAAATTTCCGGTCGACCCAGCCTCCAGACCAGGGAAGAATGTATTCCTTCTCCCCAGGTATTGTAGCGTGGATCTTGATGACAACTGAAGTCACTGACGAGTTTCTTGATGAAGTATATACATGTTTTCATGGATATGATTTAGCACACAGCTCGGAGCTAAGTATCTTAGACAGATATACACA